CACCCCCCAGGGGGGATGGTCACGCCGCAATCCCTTCTTCTCCATTCTCCTCTCAGGATCTTGGGCACGCACGCACACGCGCCCTGCGTGAGTTTTAAGCCACCAGGTCTGGGACGTGAACCGCGGTCGGCTACGTGGGAGTCCAGCGACATAGCTATTACTCTTAACTGCTGGTTCCCACATTTTATTTTTTAGCCAAACCAGAGTAATTTGAAATGTAATTTCCGAACTCATTGTATATCTACCAACCTTGGTTGTTGTTTATATGAATGTCTTTCTTCCTAGAAGAAAGGTCTTCCTTACTGGCCTTGTGGAAATTCTCTTTATTCTTTTTTTGTCCCCCCTGAGAGGTTTTTGCTATAGGACACATGTGCTTGCCAGAAAGACAGAGACAGAAAGCGAGAAATCACCCCCCTGGGGGAATGGCCACACCACAGTCCCTTCTCCACCATTCTCCTCTCGGGATCTTGGGCACACATGCACACGCACCTGGCATGAGTTTAAGCCACTGGGTCCGGGACTCGAACTGCGGTCGACTACATGGGAGTCCAGCATCGTTGCCATTACGCTAACTGCTGGTCCTGATATTCTATTTATTCTTTAGTGCCCATTCCCCCTCTTTTTCTTTCTTTTCTTTTAATTGCTAAAGGGTGCATGTGCTGGGTTGGGGTGGAAGAGTGAGAGAGCAGCCCTTCTCCATTGCTCTCTCCTGTTGGGATTTTGGGTGTTTATGCATATGTTCTGGGCGTGTTTTTCGAGTCAGTGGATCTAATGACTCAACTGTGCAGTCAGCCATATGGGCTCCACCTCCTCAACCACTATACCACCATGCCACCGACTGGCCCTGTGCCCCCTCTTTATTGTGAAGCTTTCTGAAATCTACTATGAGGCCCAAGCATTCTTTTTTTCTTTTTTTTCTTGTGTTTTATAAGTCTTACATCGTGCTATGAACATTTGAGAATTTTATTACCCCTATTTGTATGTAAGGTTTTGAAGAAAAGTAACTATCTTTTATAGTCTGTAGTGCTTTAGTACTTGAACACAGTATCATATTTTAAGCTCCTAATAAATATTTGTTACATTAAATCATATAATGAAACATTTTATGGTGTTCCCAGAGGCAGAGATAACTCTTGCATTGTACTGTAAACTTATTTCAGATTTTTAATAATAATCTTATATATTTGAACATACTTTAATTAAATTATTTTCTTTACTCTTTTTTTTTTTTTAAGAGATTTGCTTTAGGGCGTGTGTGCTTGCTGGAGAGACAGAGACAGACAGAAAGACAAAAAGTGAGAAATCCCCCCTCCCCTCCCCCAGGGGAGATGGCCATGCCACAATCCCTTCTCCTCCATTCTCCTTTCGGGATTTTGGGCTCGCATGCACACATGCCCAGTGTGAATTTTAAGCTGTTAGATCCAGGACTCAAACCATGGCTGACTATGTGGGAGTCAAGCAGCGTAACCATTATGCCACCTCCTTGTCCCTTCTTCATTCTTGATAGAGCACATGTGCACACACGAGGGAGGATCAGGTCAAAGAAATTGCACTGCATACACTCCTTAGGCTACCTCAGTTTTATCTGAATGGATATAATTTGTATCCCCAAACAGGTGTCTTTTACTTAGTAGGAACTCAATATGTAGAATTGTAGAACGAATGCTTAGGTAAATAGAATCAATAGAAATAATCTCTCACTTGAGAGGCTAATCTTTTTTTTTTTTAGTTTACTTTTACTCATGATATATATTTAGAGATAAGCTTTTTTTTTTTTTTTGGAGAGATTTTCACTGTAGGACGCGTGCGCTCACCAGACAGACAGAGAGAGACATAGAGACAGAAAGCGAGAAATCACCCCCCAGGGGGGATGGTCACGCCGCAATCCCTTCTCCTCCATTCTCCTCTTGGGATCTTGGGCACGCACGCACACGCGCCCGGCGTGAGTTTTAAGCCACCGGGTCCGGGACACGAACCGCGGTCGACTACGTGGGAGTTCAGCGACATAGCCATTACGCTAACTGCTGGTTCCCAAGATAAGCATTTTGACTGAAAAGATATACAGGTCAGCAAATTAGAGTTAAAAGATTAGAGTTATGATGAAGCTGAAAGTTTAGGTCACCTCAGATGAAATGCTAAGAAAGAAGTTCATTACATAAATAGTGTTCACATATGACTTTATACCTAATCAATTTTTTTCCTGTAAGAATTAGATAAGTTTTATTCTGAACTCATCTGTACTATAAGGCCATTTTATTTTTTTAGAGAGGTTTTTATTGTAAGACATGTGTGCTCACCAAAGAAACAGAGTGAGACAGAGGGAAAAAAAGTGAGAAATCACCCCTCCACCCCCCACCCCACCCCACCCCATCCCAGGGCATGAGCACGGCGCAATCCCTTTTCCTCCATTCTTCTCTTGGGATTTTGGGCATACATGCACATGTGCCTGGCATGAGTTTCAGGCTAGCTCAGACTTGAGCCACAGTCAGCCATGTGGGAGTCAAGCACCTTAACCACTATGCCAGCTAAGCCAATTTTAAACAGTTCTATTAGCATTTTCATTTTTCTTCTTTCTTCCTCAGTTTTGTTTTATGGTTTGTGTGTTTGCTGGAGAGACAGACAGGGAAAGAAGGAGGGAAAATGAGAAAGCAGCACCTCTGGGGAGGCGGCCTTGCTGCAGTCCCTTTTCCTCCATTCTCCCTTTGAGATTTTGAACACACACACACACACATGCACGCACACTCCTATGAGCCCTGGTGTATCTTTTGAGGTGCTGGATCTGGAACTTGAACTGCACAGTCAGCCTTAACCTCCACACCACCTGTCTGGCCATCTAGTAGCATTTTCTA